GTTACTGGTCAATGGTAAGGGGTTTGCAGAGCCATCCTGGGAACCAAGAGGAAGCTTGGAAGACACAGAAGCACTTGACATGCTGGAAGCTACCTACGGTATAGCAGATAAGGTTCGAGAAGCTTCCAGAGCAATCATAGGACGTCGAAGATTAACAAGACTGGCAGTACTCAGAAGATCAACCCAATGACAACAACAACCCAACAGCACGTGTTATGGGCTTAAGGATACCAGGATAGGTTCCCTGGACAAGGTCTGGAGACCAACTATGTAATGTCAATCTTAGATAACACTAACATTACCCCTGTAAAATATCTTCACGCTGTGAACCCTTAACTGCACCATAGAGACATCTTTTGGATATCATTGTCTTAGATAATCAGAATAGACTTTGTTAACTTCATTCGATGGTCCAAATCAAGTCTCATTTAGTGATAGTATGATATGAAGGTGCAAGGCTAGAGCAACAATGAGATCTGGGACTAAATCTAAATTTCGAAGTCAATGAGGAGGAATTTGCGCTTCGGCGCGTCAAAAGAGGGTTCTCTGGACGCTTGGGCTTGACATGATTCAACACATAGGTGAAGTCTGAGATGGTCCGGTCATTTAGGTAGGACAAGGCACTTGTCCTTAAGCTCCAGTAGGAGTGCAATGGTAGTCATGTAACCTTCCACGTTCATGAACAAAACAAAACTCAGAAGATCAATACCCAACCACAAAAAACAGTAATGTAGCGGCTGCTAAGCCTAAGGATTTCTGTAGCCTACGCTGGCTGGCGCAGGCAATGACATCAAGTGAATCTTCGGAGATAATCTTAGAATACGTGGCGCTTGGAAGATTCTCAATGAATCTTCCGGACGCACACTGAAGGTTCTTGGAGATGACAGACGTATCGGGAATCTTCTAGGAAATCATCAAAGAGCCCATATTATTCTAGCCATAGGGAGAAGCTTGTAGAAGGGGAGTATCTCAAAGTGTATATATATTTGTAGTCTAGCTGCGCAATTCTCTCCCTTCCGGGTGTTGTAATTAATTTAGGGTGCCTACAAGATTTCCAGTGCATTGTGTAGTTAAACCGTGACAAATAAGAAGTCATGAGACGGGAGGACAATATGAAGGTTGGGGGTAATGTTCCAGGCCGTAGCCATGTTAGTTTTGAAACTGAGTCTATCCGGTCCCTTGCGAAGCGCTTAGTCCTTGGTAGTCCAGCGTTATTGTTGCATGCGTAGTCGCTCATATCCATGAGAGGCCTTCCGAAGTGTCTTTCTCTCTAGAAAGGATATAGACTCTGTTTTGGGCACACGTCAGCGAGAAGCTTATGCTCCGTCGTATCACATACACCGACCTTTTACAAATTACCTTGGCCATTTCGCAGTGTAGGCGTAATTTCAAAATACTTGTAATACAGAGGTAAAGTTCCTGGTAGAGGGAAATCCGTCACAGACAAATCGGAAAGCAGAGTGGCGGATAGCTGGTCGGAATCTTGTGGTTTCTGGGTGTGTCAGGGCGTGGAGTAGTTCTATAAGGGCTGAGCCGTGCGGCTCGTGACTACGATCATTAGCTGTGCGCTGGCACCAAGTCGAACTAAATCAAACCCAAACTCTTCGTTGGACGGCGCCGGCAAAGACGAATTGTTCACCTTCCAGTAGTGCCGGTGTAGTCGCTCAGTATGCTCTGCATATCTGGGATAGCCAAGTAGAATCGCATCCGAATCCAAGTCGAAAGCAACCTCATGTATATCAAAAAACCATCACCTCTCATAAATGTCAGACCTATTATTCCCACGCGTGTCCTCTGATTTACTTATAACACGAATCTACTCGCCTCGACGGCTGAATAGGTAGTCGCACCTTTTGCAATGGGGAATTTGCCTTATCAAAAATCAGCCATCTCCCACTACACATTTACGATGCTGTGTATACCCGCAATGAGAAAATCAAGTCATAATCTACAAAGTTCGGGTCTTAGTCTACGGGGGACCACTGCTATGATGGGGCTCCACATCTTGGGGGGGAACAGGCAGTTAGGACGTGGGATGTGGGACGAACGAATGAAGAGGTCGCAAATGGGCACGCTGGGACGCATACTTTCAAGTGTTTTCGAACTTGGGACATTTGTGAGCGCCGAGGCTACAACTTAGGATAGTGCAACCGATACTCTAAAAACAGGCAAGGATGGAAGATGTTTTGCTTCGCCTCCTGGTCATCATCTTCCCGAATCAAAGTCTGGGCAGCCCAGACACCTACCTCATTCGAGAAAGGGAGGACTGTAAGGCCATATCTCGCGCGGTGGCTACGTCAAAGATGGCAGAGGCATGTTATGGTAGCCAAAGGTTTTTTGTTTTCTCTTTGGTGAATATTAACGGTGGAGGGAAGAGCGAAGGTCCCTGGCGCAAAGGTCTCGAGTAGTATCCATGAATGCACTGACATGAGCAGTCCAAATATCAAACTGAGTTATCGTCGGATATAGTCGCCGGGGAAGCTAGTCTTTCCGTATCATACTCTTTGAGTGCTAGGATTGTGTCCATCACGAATAAACATCCATCTTAATTGCGTATGCAGCTTTCAGGCCGTGACACGATATCAGAGGTCAAGTTCAGAATGAATGAGCGGACTTCATTCGCATGTACCGCTGCCAAGTTGTGGCGACTAATTCTTCACCCCAAGTCAGCCCTCATGCGTGAATACCCACCAAGGACAACGTCTTAAAAACCCAGAGTTATCCAGAAATGCCTGCATCATCCACTGACTTGTCTCCGCGCGAAATATGGTCTGAGGCGTCTCCTTCCCAAGTGGAGTGGGTGCCCAGGCTACTCAAACCATACCGGATAATACCACCAGGAGGCGGACCACGGCACCTTCCATCATCGACTTGTGTTGACAGTATCAGCTGCACTCTTGCAATCGAAATATTGGCGCGCTCAATGCTCATGAGTTTGTAAATCTCACATGTCGAGATTTACCCATGCTTTGCATCATCTTGTAAACTTGTCGTAATTTCCCTCACATCCATCCGACCGGACAGCCTCTCGGATTTCTGCGCGACGCTATTACCTCTGGTGGGTATTAATATCTGCGTGAGGGTAGATTAGGTGGCTGGCCGAGGCCAGAGAAAGTCGACGAGTGGTCGGGTCATTGAAATGCAGCTTTACTAAGTCGTTCTTCTAAAACTGATCTCGTTGGGGGAGAGAGAGACTGACTTGGCTGAGTCTCTTGAACTACTGTCCCGTGGGCCAGGATTTTTGGTTTTGCGAATTTTGACAGAACTCGGGTCTGCGAGCATGTTCCACTCCCAGATTCGTAGAAGACGCCGCAGACACTTGTTCAGTCTTTATCCTCCTGTGCGCCTTGAATACCAATATCACTAGGCCCTTATTGTACATGTTTATCTGTATGTAAAGGTCTGTTGTAGTTACGCCCTCAGGGCTCCAAACATGCAATGAGTAAGGCAGTGTAGGTGCTTGAACATGAAACACCTACACGTGACATGAGTGCCAATCTAGTCTTGGCATTACTCAGCAAACACCCACACCTCATGTATATAGAGCTCGCTGTAGTTACTCCTATTTCTCCTTCCATAGCCAATCTATATTACATTCCTAAGGCTGCCTCTCTACCATTTTCATACCTCGTGATTGTTGTGATCTGAATGGTATGTATTTTGTATATCTAAAAGCTACCACTCTACAGAGGTAGTGTGTGTGCAATTATTATTCCGAAACTTACACGGGGATACTATGATCCGAATCATCTGGATCCACACTCCAGTTCAGTTGTTCACATGACTCGGGCCAGCATCTTGCACAAATCAATCTCAAAGGGCTGGAACAACGATTGATCAGGATCACTCTTCAATCCACGCGTTGCGGCAGACGAAGGTTCTCGGCTCAAGATTGAGGTAAATTGTCAGTGCCCCGAGCAGTATTCAACCCGGTACGCGTGTATCGGCGCGAGCGTGGCCATGTCGGGCTGTAATACTGTTGCTTCTGGATATTAGCTTGCCCATTGCAGCGGTCGCAGATGAGGGGAGCCGGGTAACTTTGTGGGATCTACGAGTTCTGCCTTCTCACCTGTGAAGCATCGTAAATGGCGCTCAGTACTTTAGATTATGCTCCAATAAAATATGGCTCTACTAGCAGATTTATTTGCTTCGTCCCCATCCACAGCTTACCAGGTTTATTCTCATTCTATTATCCATTCTCTTGCCAAGCTTCAACATCGTAATTCCCGCTGCTCACAGGGCAACTAAGGTGACCTGTAAACTAGCAATCTTAGTCCTTTTTCAGAGCATGAATCCCTGTTATTGGGGTCGAATATTCGATTGCTTGGATATTAATAATTACAATCGGCTCCTTCCAACTAATAATTTGGTATATGGAGACGGGTCTTGAAAAGAGGTCAAAGTGGCATCACCACTTTAACTCCGCTAATCCCACTAAGGGGCCTGAGCTTCGAACCAAGAGGTACGTCTGGCAAGGTTAATTAGCCCGGATTGTCACACCACGTGATTTTATCTCCGGGGCTGGTTTGACTGAGTAGATAATTAGTGTTTTGTGGACCTGATTAGTATCTATGTTTGATATCTTTGTGATGTCACATGCTTTAGGAAGAGTTATGATGAAATCCAGACAAGTAAATTTTCGGGCTTGGATTCTTCACACAACCTGCGTCGACGTACAGGATTTTTAAGGACTTCCTTTTAACCTCTCCCTATAAAAGTGTGACTCGATATTTACAATGACTCAACAAGAACAAGCGCTGATAATTTTGTGATAGCTACACCCTACTCCGACTCACGTGCTTTGCACCTTTTCAACTCCTTTTCTTTGGCAGATCAATAAACAAGATAAGGAATGGACTAGCCACCTCAAAAACGCCATTTCAAAGAGAAAAATCGCGCTGGAACAAAGGAAATTCGTAATCATGATGGCTTTCAGATATCATCATTGGCATCCGTCGTAGGTTTAAACGACTCATTTCGTAGGTTTAACTCAGCACATGTTAGACCAAAGCTCGGTTTCGTTTGTGCACTTTACCGTCTTCATCATCGCCATACTTTCTTTTGTTCTTAGCGGTAGTCGCAAGGCTGATGGTTTTCATTGTGATAGCGCTCATAGCTCTTTGCTTACGAACAGGTGTAATGGGCGTGTTGGCGTGTCTTAACCGGCCGCTCTTCACCCCTTTCAAAGTTCCTTCCATGAATTGATTCCCACCAAAAGCTAAACTATCTGGAGATGCGATATTTCGGTGGAGGAGTTGATGAATATTCTGCTTTTGACGCCAGGACCCAACAACGCCTCGATTGAAGTGCGACAACAGTGGATGAACCTGATTATCGCTGATGTTACTTATTACATTAGTCTTTTTGGGGATAGTATTCCGGGCTTCTGCAGAATCGGAAGACTGCTCTTCTTGGTTTTCATCACATTTTGTATTCTCATCCGATTCAAAATTGATGAATTCGTCTAGGTTGGTAACAGTGGCATCAGTAAATGAATTTTCAGCGTCGGTATCATATAATGATGATGAGCCATGAGAGAAAATATCGTCCCCAGTAGAGTTGGTCCATGGGTAATAAGGTTCTAGAGGCCCCAGGGCTAGAATCTTGTTTAAGTCTTCGTTGATTAATGTTTGATGCACTGCCGATATTGGGCTTCCGGCATTTGAATTGATCAGCGAAGAGCATGTTATGCTAGACGGCTCAATAGTGAGCGGCGGTTGGAGGATTTTACGAAGGCTCGATGTTTGAGAGACCCTTACGTTGAATAGTACCATCTTTTTGCAATTGCTAGACACCGTTGCAAACGGCTTATCGCTGGTGTGTTTCCATGAGTACAAGCGAGGAGTATGAGATATCTCCCCATCAGATTCTATATCAGATGAGTGAGCAGTTCTGTGACGAGGCTGTGTGTAATATTCGCTGGGCAAATCGTCGTCTGTAGTCTCCCCGCTTACATCAGCTTAAGAGGTTAGCAAGTTCATTTCTGAATGGAGTATGAACATACTTTCGTAGCCACTAGAAAATGAGGAATCAGATTCATATGCCTCTCCATTTCCGTTCTTGGATATATCTATATCTTCGTTGGCATTCGTTTCAGGTAAATTATACATGGCTTCCGCTCCTTCAGGCTCCCAGTATGAACCGTCATCTGAAACGTCATTGTCTATTTGACGGCGGAAGGAGGAGGCAAGTTTATCTTTATCAATAAATATGTCAGGGAAAACGTCGTCAAACATTTCAATCTCGTCGTCTGAGCTGTCAAAATGAAGCGAACCTGCTCTATAAGTTGGCGTACATTCGTCAGATTCCTCGTCGGCAACAATTTCTTCGGTTTTTGTTTGCCACTCTCCTTCAATACTATCCTGTCCGAACAATACCATATCATCTATACCATCCGTGTACTCAGAGATACCTTCCCAGGTCTGATTGAAGTCGAGAACTGGATTATATTGTGGATTACCGCCATCTACAGAAGATATAATGGCTTGTTCTTCAATATGTTCGACATTGGGCTCATCTTCTTCCGAGTCCGAAATTTGTTCTACGCCTGCATACGATTCGACGTCTGACGAGGTGTCGGCGCCAGAGAATTTTTCCCCATGTTTTGTAGATGGTCGAGTAGCGGCCTTTTCGGATTTTAATTTAGACATATTGTTATTTTTTGAAGCTTGGGAACAAGTAGGGCACACTAAGTAGATTTAAGGATGTGTTGAAGCGATAATTTTATTTAAAAGTGTAAATTTGCTTGTATAGTTATACAGATAATCGGATAGGGTCGGGGGGTTTCTTTCCAGAACAAAATGGCTTTTTGCAAAAACTCGGCCTAGTTAAGTGAAACTTGAGCTGCCGATAAAAATATATTCGTTCGTAGAGAAATACCTTCCCTCGGGTGGGGAAAGGTTGGATGTAAAAGTCTATGGTTGTCCAGGCCCTTCGTGTTGTGTAAGTTGGCCTTGAGGCACCTACTTTAAAGAGTCTGATGCTTCGTTGAGGTCGATGGATGTGTGTAAGATCTCGTTGGCTGAAGGACTACGGACATGCTTCAATTTAGGCATGCCCGCAGTGAATTATCACAGCTCAGCGATAGTCGACGACATTATCAACGAAGAATTAAGGTTATGGAGATTTCTGGTAAGAATTTTAAGAATGACGTTTACTTTCTTGATTAGACCTGGTGTTGAGGAGAGTCGGAGGGGAGAGTTTTGGTTAAAGGGTCGTAAATTTTTCGCCAATGCGGACCAGCTGCCCGCAAGCTAGAATGCAGATTACCAACGCTCTCACGTGGGTGGATCATCAATTTACCATGCATCTGCGTTTACCACGGATGCTTGTCCATCCAGAGTATCCATTTCTACTTCTACAGCGAATCAAAGGAATCCAACTCACGGTCGTAACTTAATTGGAATGTGAATAGCCATCATCTCAGTTTTCCGGTGGTACGGGAGTTGACTGGAGTCAATTATTCAGAGTCTTGGTCTACGTGAAGATGGGAAATCTATGGGGCTCCTGGCATGTGTATGTACCTCGGTTGAAACATGGCTATCTAACCTAACAGTTTCAGTCATATTTGAATTACGAATAAATCTTTGCTGCTAGTGATCAAGAATGTATGATACCACGGGCCCGGAAAGTTACCCGGAAGAATTGGCGCGATACCAGCATATTTCGTGCCCAGTGACAATTATTCACCGGGCATTTAGAAGGAGAATGGATGTTGACACTTGGATAACTATTTTTTTGCTAGGGCACACGACACGGATGTCTGCACTGTCAAGATGACACAAACAGATCGACCTTATACCAAACAGTTTCTTCGTGCGCAATAGTTACGGCGAGAGAACATGAAAAAACAAACTTGCCTAGATCCAGGCGTCAAGCCTGTAATTTTCATGTCAAAATGTCAGACATCTTGTCCCCTCAAGGCTCCCTATCAGAGCGTAGCACTTACGAGTGGGGTTCGGACTGGATCAGGCCCATGACTATGCGCCAAAGTACCTTGTCTCGCCCTTTGGGCTGGGTCCACACCAGTTGTGTAGAATAGTGTCGAATTGTGGCGTACTAAGATTTTTGAAGACATCTTGTGGTGTCTTGAGTGGCCACATTGTCTTACTGCTTATTTTACGGATTATCAGGTTCTGGAAAATCCCACTGCCCATATTCTTAACTTCTTCTGGAATCATACCAACCGAGTCCATACAGCTTCTCTGTGACTAATTAAGGAGCTCGCCAAGTTCAATGACCTAGATCTATCGTCGGATGTCCCCCCATGGCGACCAAATGGATCTAGCCACAGGAAAACAAGGGAAACGCCATGCAGCAGGGACTGAGTATTAGTGACAACTGCATTATTCAAGCCCTGGAGGCGGTAGAGAGCACGCGATGGTGATGGTACTTGCCATCCATCTCTATTGTTTACAAGCCAGATTTAACCCAACAACATGTCTGGCTAAGTCAAAGGCTAATTGGACACATGAAATTTATTTGTTCGGATCTGTCTCGGAGAAAGTGGACGTACTCGGGCGTTACGAATGACTCTGAGACGTAAAATAGGTCCCTTCACTTGAAAACTTGATGTTAATGGCAAGCTACTTCCTTGTAGAGTAAGGTGGACCTTCTCGAAAACCTATGGCTGCGAGAGAAGCTCAATTAGCGATGATTCCAGTCCAGCTCGTTGATGGAGATTTAGGGCTGTCGCAATTTGTTATAGCTTTGTTCGCATCGGCGGTAAAGTTGATTCATCTAAATTGGCCCACTAATAACTGCGCACGGGACTGATGAGGTTCGCGGGGACCACGGTTGAATAATATACCTAACATCTCGTGATGCATAACTAGCTGAAGGCACACTTAGGGAAAAGAGACAAGTACTGCTTCCATGTGTCCGGTGATCAACTATCATGGTTAGCCGCAGACTTTTCGTCAGATTCAAGTGAAAACAGCGTATTCCAACCTTCTGTCAATTTCAATAGACTAGATTTTCAGTAGGTTAAGCCCTTGTCACCGCCACACAACGCCTTCACCCAAGCCTCACGTTCGGGTGGATAGAGCTGGCGCTACTACCTCGTCTCTCAAGTTGGTTATTAGTAATGGACTTTCACGCTGTGGGACACCCAACTTCATTTCCTTCAAGAAGCAGGCTAGCAAGAAGTTGTTTGCCCAGGAACCCAGTCTGCAACGGGTGTTTCATAATATTATGACGCCGTGGCACAAAGTGCTGTAATAAGCACGTCCGACGATAGCCGGCATTTGCCCCGTCGTCAGCTAATTTCATGAATGGCAGCTCGACGCCAATTAACATTGTAGATATACATGTGATGATTCAATTGACTATCTGCATCGCACAGTTTAGGACTGTTGAATGAGTGGTAAGAGCCGCATACTCCTCCACAATCATGCACAATCACATAGCAAGGGACACCACCGGTACATCCAACCCTTTTGATGCTGCACACAGCCACGCTGAGTACAGTGTGCGGAGGGGTCTTGCCGATCCAAGCTTGCTAAACCAAATCGCAAGTTGGATATACATCTGCAAAATTGATTTGTCTTCGCGCAAGCAATATTGCAAAGCTGCACAGCGAAGTAGGGTCGATCGCTCAGTAAAGAGAGACTGGCGGCTTGTGATGCAGAAGGCTTCGCAGATACAACGGGCTCAGTAGTGACCAACAGAGGGGGAGTGTATGCCACGCGTACATGGTTTCCGTCGCGAGGTATGCACTTGCGCCTTTACCTGCCGGAGTCCGCACTATTCCAGATCAGGCCATGGTTATGCCGATTGACCGAGAGGCTAAGCATCGCTGCACCGCCTATCACATCTTTACTCGCCTGCTCGACCCATAGTGTATATTTTGGCATCCAACTCAGCCCCGGTAGTTGCGCAGCAAACTAGCAGATGAGACCCAACTTTGATCAGGTCAAGTCTCCGATTCATTTCGCTCATGCAATCTGTTGGGGCTGATTGATTAATTACCTTATACACAAACCCTGCTTCTTCATCGGGAAGTCTCCTGAATAGCCGCTTTCCGAAGACAACCGTGCAGCTATGCTAAACCCAGAGATCGGATCGGCGAGATCTACCAGGCCATTTGCATGCTTTGAGCAAAGTTAATCTAAGCTTACATTTTCCGACTACACCAAGATGTACGCACGACGAAACAGAACAATCCTGTAGCGCTATTTTCGCCGAGCTGCCAGTGTCCGCGCGATGTCATGAGATACCGCTGCAATATGCCCGAAATTGCAAGCATGAACGTGCAGTAATTCGCCATTAGCTGAATCCCTAGAGCCATTTGCTTAGGTCACTTTTCAAATGGATTTGGAGAGCTAGTGCCTGATGAAGGAAAGGACATTAAATCAAAGTAATAAGCATCTATCCGTTTGAAGTTTGGGTTCAGATCTCTACAAATAGATCTTCTAGCAACGCAACCCTTCTAAAACATCTGCGGTATTAACAGATGTCAACCAGATGCAATGCTTGCGCCCGGAACGTTCATAAATTTGGGTTGCCGGGCAGGTAAACCATGTGGGCCTTGGAGTATTGAATGTATACAGACCCCACTACTGACTATCCACAGTCGCACCGTGCAGTAGTACTAGAGGCTAAATCTCAGAGTAGCCGTGGTGAGTATGCCAGAGAAAAAAATCCCACAAGATTCAGTACCTGTCGAGTTCCCATATAAAGTTGTGATGGCTGAAATTTGAATGTAGAGGATAAGTAGCTCCATCTTTTTAGAGTACGGGAGATGGATCATGCCAGCCTCAACTTTCTTATACTTTTCTGCCCCACAAATCCTCGACTGCGGTTATAATTTCGGACAACTCCACACTGTGTTCCTCCAGCAGATTACCGGCCAAGGACTCCACATGTGATAAATTAGCCTTTCGAAATTATTCAAAATCTATCGTCTATCTGGAGGGAACACTTGAACTACCTTTCCTGGCTCCAACAAGAGAAATATTGTGGATTTACCCCACAAATATTACAAAAACGTATTTGCACGCATCCAGTGCAGTCAACTCTGGGGGACAAAGACTAAAGACCCATCAAGAGCAACGTGGTCGAAGCCAGGGTTAAAACACTTCCTCACATCCCAAAATGCTGCTAAAATGCGGCATCAGCTTCACCCTATGGACGTTTGAAAATAGTAAATTTCAGTCGATATGGTGAAGAATCATAGAAGATGAAATAGTATCAAAATGTGATCCAACCATGTACATGGTTCTACAAGAGCAACGTGCCGAAAACCCACAGCCAGATATCCTTGAGCTGTTCAACTTCCCTTGATGGACAAATGCCATACAAAGCTGGATCTGCGGCCAACCTACACAATCATCTCAGCATCCACCAGCTCACGACCTTATTAGCTGTGTTATGATAAAGATGGGGTGCAAATACATGGGTAGACCCCGGTAAGCTAAACTGAGGGGATCACATCCTTGTGGCGAAGCAAAGATACTAAATGACTATTGTAAGCCAAAGGTACAGTGAGGAGATGCTAGCTCGAAATGGCGCTCGACTCTAGATAGACAAGCAGTGTTGCTGGTGATTGTGGCTTCTGGTGAATGCGTATATAGCGCCAAAAGCTATGGATAGATTTTCGCATCGACGCTCAAACTGTACATTTCTTGAACCGTTGAGCCTGTCATGGCTT